ACAGGCGCCGAGCCCGATGTAATACTTCTAAAAAGAACAGCCGTTTATTCTCATCTGAAATAGTTTCTCAAGCCAGGTGCAGTTAGTGCATGCTGTAGGACCAGCTAGCTGGGAGCTGTGGCAGAAAGATTTTTTGAGCATGGGAATTGGAGGCCAGCATATGTTATGGGCAACATAATGAAAGCATGTTTCTTAAAAAAAAAAAAAAAGGAACTTTAGTATTAGAAGTTACTAGTAGTCACTAGTACCTTTTACTTTCAAGTATTCAGACAAACAGGCAGTTTCTGAGTTACAAATATTTGTCTTACGTATAATTCCCACTAAAGACTGGAGGCTGTTACAGGTAAAAGGTAAATGTACCTGTTCCAGCTTACATGCAAATTTCTTTTTTTTTTTTTTTTTGGCGACAGAGTTTCTTGGTAGAGTGCTGTGGTGTCACAGCTCACAGCAACCTCAGGTGCCCGCCGCAATACCTGGATTTTTTTTTTATTGCAGTTGTCATTGTTGGTTAGCTGACCCCAGCTGGGTTTGAACCTACCAGCCTCAGTGCATGGGACTGGCGCCTTAACCACTGTGTTACAAGTGCTGAGCCTACAAATTCAACTTAAGAATAAACCTACAGAACCTACCTTATTCATAATCCAGGGATTACCTATATATATACACGTTCAAGTACCAGAAAGATAAATACATCTCTAGAAAATACTTTTAGGCCATTGCAGTGGCTCACACCTGTAATTCTGGCACTCTGGGAGGTTGAGGTGGGTAGATTGCTTGAGTTCACAAGTTTGAGACCATCCTGAGTAAAATCGAGACCCTATCTCTACTAAAAATAGAAAAACTGAGGCAAGAGGATTGCTTGAGTCTGAGTTGGAAGTTACTGTGAGTTATGACACCATGGCACTCTACCCAGGGTGACAGCATGCAACTCGTCTCAAAAAGAAAAAGAAAAAAAACCCACTTCTTTTAAAAGTGAGACATCTGTAACATGTAGCCACATGGAGATTATAATGCATTCCTCAGACACTTCCCTGAGGTGAGTGACTATAAAATAAACTCCAAAGGTGCATCCTCCTCCCTATGTGTTCTGACACCACCAAATGGTGCAATAAGCCTGTTTCCACATTGTGCAAAGCTGAAAGTCTTAATATGTGAAAGGTTGTTTCAGTTTATTAGTTATGTTCTATGTTCCATTAGATTGTGATCATGTGGCTTCCTCATGCATGTAGCCAAGGTAGAATGAAATGTTGTCAGCAGATTTGAATATTTCCAAAGTGTGACACACATCTTGTCCCTGGAATTATAGTGTTTCCTGCCTAATAAGGAGAAAAGGAAAGAGTGTGGGATTGGAGTCACCATAGGAATCCACCAGTTCTTCACCTCTAAGAATTCCTCTTGGTTTTAGGCCAAAGTCAAGAGGTGGAATGAGCCACTGGGAGAGGGACATTGCAGATACCTGTCAATGGACTAACGATTGTAACTGCAGAAATAAAATTTGTAGAGTGCACACATACTCATATATGTATGAATTAGATATGGAAAGCATATTTAAGTAGTTCCTGTAGAATTGACCTAATGGAGTGTATTTCTTTCTTTTTATTTTTTTTGAGACAGAGTCTCTGTCTTGGGTAGAGTGCTGTCGCATCATAGCTCACAGCAACATGAAACTCTTGGGCTTAAGTGATCCTCCTGCCTCAGCCTTCCAAGTAGCTGGGACTATAGGTGCTTGCCAACCCACCCAGCTAATTTTTCTATTTTTTGAAGAGCCAGGGTCTCACTCTTGCTTGACTTTTCTTGAACTCCTGAGCTTAAGTAATCCATCTGCCTCTGCCTCCCAGAGTGCTGGGATAATAGGTGTGAGCCACTGCACCTGGCTGCCATTTCTTTCTATGTGTAGTTCTACTGGTTTAAGATCTCTTAATATTTATGCCATATATCTGTCTACTTAGATATCATTGCTTAGTGATTTCATGCTGCCTTCAACTCAAAGTGAATTTATTCACCAAAAATAGATCATGTGACCTGATTTATACTAATTTACACTTCATTTATTCTTTGCTTTACCTAGTAGAACCTCCTTAGTTGACTAACAGCCCTACACTGACCATCTCCTTAAGTTGACCTTATTAATGTTCATAGATTGGACATGCACCACATGTACGTATCAGTATAGTAGGCCTACTTCCTTATGGTGACCACCTGCATGTGTTGACCAGCTTATTACAGTCCCTTGGGTGGTCAATTCACTGAGGTGCCACTGTATTTATTAAGCATATACTAGGTGCCAGCAACCATACTAACTGATGACAAATAATAGATGATGGTGGGAAAACCAGATACAGATTCTGAGCTTTTGAATGTATGATCAGTTTTGTGGAGGAGACACGTTGATAAAATAATAACAGTGCAAGTATGTAATTAAATAAGTTCTATAGCAGAGCTAGAGGAGAAGATAGGAAGAAGACTATGTTTAGTGAAGATAAATTGTGTGTGTAGTATTTAAAATCTTCCGTGAGGAAGAGGCATTTGAGCTGAGATCTTAAGAGTAAAGTGATATTAATTAGGTGAATGGGGGTGCTGGGCTGGGGAAGGGGGCAGAGGGGAAGAATATTCCAAAGGCTAGGACCTACAACAAGAAGGGGAATGGCTCCTAGGAAGAAACAACAGAAGGTGGATATGAACCAAGCAGGCTACAGGGATGGTGACATAAGACAAAGCTTCCAGTGTGCTGGTGTAGAAGGTGCCAGAGACTACCACAGGGGCCAGATGTGGGATGTGTAGATAGTAAGTACTCTCTGGCTGTGGGGACACAGGTGAAATTGCCTTTCTTCTGCAAAGGCTGAGCATGCTCTCGTTTCTTCATAGCCTTGGTCATGCCATCTTTCTTTTCCTTTCCCTCTTGCTAACTGTAATGGGCTGAATTGTGTCTCCTCAAATCTGTACACTGAAGTCCTAACTCCAAGTACCTCAGAATGTGACTCTATAAGGCCTTGTAAGAGGTGGTGAAGGTAAAGTGAGGTCACGAGTGGCTTCTAATCCAATGTGACTTGACCTTGTAAGAAGACGGGATTAGGACAG